GAAAACTGAATCGAGTGACGTGTTTTGTGAAGACTTTCCGAAAACATTTTTTTCCGCAAAACACATCACTCGATTCAGTTTTCGACGCTGATCATGAACATGAGCTTGGTTTTACTTCAAAGGGCTTTCTTCATAAAGAAAAACACAAAAGAAAGTTATATTATACTTTCCTTTTCTTTCTTTTTGGAAAAAGAAAGCGGGAATGGAAAACCAGTTTTTACTTTTCGTTTTTTGGGAAAGAAACGAGAAAGTGCCATCCCTAGCATTGGCCGATTTCGATTTTAATGAATTGGATTTAGGAGATACTGTAGGTATATATCAAATGTGATATTTCTATTGTTTAACTAATGCGACTTTTTTCCATTAGCCTCCTCGAATTGATAGTATCAAAATGCATACGGATAAAATAAGAGATCAAATCATGATGAATATAGAATTGTTGTGCGTGTTCAAATGGACTTATACTGAATATCAAAAATACCGAACACTGGTGCATATAAATACGTTTATTAAACAAAGTAGTTTATAATAATTAAAAAAAGAATGTATTGCTTCGTTCTTTTATATCCATGTGTCCATGAACCAACTACTGGATCCTCTTTATTTCGATTGTATAGAAAAAAATATTGAAAATCTAAAATTTATTAACATTCAAATGTGAATGGACGAGCTATGAGTTTTGTTAGAGAAAAAAAAGAAGTTTTAAGTTTTAAAAATTTTGAAAGTTCAAAGTTTTTCAATTAAATTGGTATATCAGATTACCACTATACAATAAAACCGATATTTTCCTATAAAGATGAAAATTCTACATAGGGGCGGAAAATTTCGAAAAACAGTTCCAAAATATTGTTAAAATTTGATAAACTAGGAAGCATATGGAAAATCCTGGTCCGGCTTTACCAAAACGGTTGGTAATTAAAAGTAAATATCTCATTCATCATAAGAACGAAAAGCCGTATCAGATGAATTGGTTTTTAATTTCTTTTGTGCTAAAAGCTAGCTTACGAAAAAGTAAGGATCGAATTTTTATATTTTTCCGTTGTTTTTATTTTTGAATCGTTTTAAAACGCGTCGCTCAACTCGAATTAACCGAAAACCGCGTTTTCTAATACGTTGTCAAATCGGTTTTTATAAGCGTAGATAAAGAAAAAGACAGATAAAACATTATTTAAACGATAAAAAAGAACACATTGATTTTAAAACATTTAACGTCCATTTTGTCAGTTTTTTTCTCCCTAGAAAAATTCAATAAGACTGACGCATAGATATGCAAGATTGAGTTTCATCAAATAATTTTATACCATTCTATCTACCCCGATGAAAATGCACCCTCGATCCTATAAACAAAGTTATTAAATCACTCACTCATGATAACTCAAAGGTTCTCAACGCATATTAATTTTCCAAATCTGATTTTATTCATCTTCAATTCCTGTGCTGCTATGTTGCGCTTTTTCCAAACACAAGGAAGCATGAAACGTCTGTATTGTACGAAGAGATTTGTAATCAATTATTATTTAAATGTATAAACTGTTAGGTCACTACACAGCAAGATCGCATAACGCTATCTCTGCGTAACCATTTGCTCTGTTTGTTAATTGTATAAAACTCGATGAATAGAGATCATGGCGAGTTGAGCGACGTCTCATTTGTAGATCATAGTGCGCTCATCAAAGTTCATTACGAATTCAAGTCGATTGGATCGATTATTTTCATAGCAGGAAATGCCCGGAGTGTTTTCTGCGAAATTTGCTTTTACACCTCGTGGCGAAATAATTGTAACAGAAAAACGCTCGCCTTGAATTCGTAGTGAATTTTGAAGAGCACACTTTGATCAACAAAATGAGACGTCGCTCAACTCGCCAGTAATATATCCTTCAACTTGTATAAGATGAACAAAAGGTCAAAAATGGTAACGAACAGAGAAAATATTGACCGTTAGCCGATTTTCATGTGCAAAAATTATAATTTTACTTTCAGTTTTATATTTTTTCGATTATGATTTGATTTCATCGAAGTTTTAGAGGTCTAATTTTAAAGAAACCATGTGAACTACATCATTCACTAATGACTTTAGCCTTAGGAAATTAGTGAGATTTACCTTAATAAAATGATAAATTGAATTAATGGTAACTGGAGTGCCTGCAACTCAACTAAATCAATTACCTGTAATTTCGTAAATTGAAAACTTATTCATTTGATTATATCCGCGCATCTTAAAATGAATATAGCAACTTTTTTCCGGGTAAAATATCATTATAGAATTATTTGAATGGAACTTTATTTATTGCAAAAAATCTTTCATTCAGAAGAAAGATGCACAAAAAAATCGTTCGTACGGATTATTACTTTTTTCGTAAGAGACTTGGAAAAGGAGAATCAATTCAATTTCTTTCTTTGTTTTGATACAAATAATAAGAGAAAAAATGTTAGAGCAAGAGTATAGAACAAGGCAAATAGAGCAGAAGAAATAGAACAGATTAGAAATATCTATGAAGAACAAAAAATATATATAGTAAGAGAGATATTATAGAAAAACTAAAGTGAACAAGAAAAAAAAAGAGTTCACATAATCAAGGAGAAAAAGACAAATTTTATTTATTTATTCAAGGTTTTTTAGTCTTTTATTTCATTATTGATTGATCACATCACTAGAGAAAAAGAAAGAACGTTACGTGAGTGTGTATGAGATTATAACGTGATAATTATTATTTATGATGAAAACTTAGGCGGTGAGCCAACCGGTGGAGAACCGACGGGTGATGTTGTTGATGGAGACTGTGGCTGTAAAACAGAACTACGTCTCGGACGATCGGCATCTTCCATTGACATTGCTCTACTTAAACGTCCTAAACCCACAAGACTTGTTTCCATTGGAAGTCCACTTAATAATCCAATGCCTTGTAAGAAAAATTGCATTGATTTTGCCAATATATCCGGCTAAAAGAATAAAAAAAGAAAATCTAGTTGTGATTGTACGAAAAATGATGATTTAAATTTACTTACCGCTTCGCCTAAAACGTCACCCACATTATCCGCAATAAGAAGTGGACTATTCACCATACGTTTAACATCACGAGTTTCTTTTAATCGATCATAAAATTTTTCTGTTGTACTTAATACCGATGATTTTTTACCAACCGCTACTAAACAATCAACTCTATAAAAAAACGAAAGAACAAATGATGTATATACAACAAAAATAAAATTCAATAATTAGTTGGCTTACGTTAACTTTTCTAATTTATCAATCAAATTTGTTCGACTATAAATAAAAGATTATATAAATTTAGGCTGTATTCAATGAATCGTGTGACATTACATACTTGAGAAATGCGTCCATAAATAATGCCAGATTTTTTGGATTTCGTTTTCCATATAATTTTTCAGAAAATTCACGAATGTTTGCTTCTAATAATTGACTATCACCATAACCCTTAAACAAAGAGCAAAGGTCTGTGTTTTCTCTTCTATGTTAACAAAAATAATGATTACATAAATGATCATGCACTAAAATGTTATCATTATTTTTCTATATTCATGCAACGTAATAAGAGTCAGTAATTCTCTAGATAATTTTAATGCAAAATAACAGAACATTCTGTTATGACCATTGCCGGTGGATCATGTGTAGACAAACCAGACTTGCCAGTTTCACATAGTCCGATATTGTCTTGAAACTCAGTACTCTCCAAAAAGGTGTTCACCTCCCTAGAGAATGTACTTGACAAGTTTTCTCACTTACTAGGCATTTGAACGAGAACTTGAAAAGTATTTTTTACTTCCCAAGTACTTGTCTAAATATTGACACTTTATTCGCTTCAGTCACTTCACGCCAGCCATTCTTTTGTTTCGCATTGACAAGTTATATATAAACGTCACAATATCAGTTAGTATAAACTTAGAAAATAAATTTCGATATTTCTACTAAGTTGAACTAACTTGGTGGTCATGCATGCATCTACTTTACACAAGTAGAGTATACAGTACAAATACAAAATAAAGATAAATGAATAAGCGCACTTGGATGAAGTTTTTCACGTAAATTTACTTGCATTGAATCAGTCAAGTGCTTGGACAAGCGCTTACAAGCAAATTCACTACTGGAAAAAAGACAAGTACTGACTTCATTATGCAAGCGAAGTACTTGTGCCCAAGTACTTAGGTACAAGTACATCTACTAGGGCTATCTCTTTATTATAGTTATCAAATTTCAACAATAGTCAGATCCATATCTTACACTTACTGACCATGCATTAATTTTTTAATAACAGATAACTATATTTCACGTCACAATGTAGGCTATTGTATCGGTAATTTAAGGCACATGAATATAAATAGTTTATTCAAGATCAGTACATAGACGAGATTCAAACATAGTACGTTAGACGTACGTGACGAACAACAGAACTGTTGAGCCACCCAGTTTCAATGGTAAAATATTTAGTATTCTATTTTATAAACAGTATATATCCAATACAAACATGCATTGAATATATGTTTATGAGAAAAGTGTCCAGACTACAATCATGCGCATTGTTGTGCATGCACAATCTGGCCACTAAACAAGCTTAATTGCCGTAGCAAATATATTCAACACATACATCTATACAATGTAGCATATATAGTTTTCTTTAGAAAAAAGTATATATTTAGATGTATTTACTGAAACCTGTATTTTGACTTGACCATCATTTGAAGAATTAGCTAACTGAAAAATGGGAACAATAAGAGAAGAACTAATAATATAAGCAGTCAATTGTTGAACGATGCTCTCTTATTAAACAACTGATTGTACGACTATACTACGTTCAATACTTTAATAAGATAGATTATTTTGAATTACGTTTATTTTTTAAGCAAATTGATTGAAGTAGAAAGCGTGCAATCAAATAAGAGCAAACGTGTATACATCAAGAACAGATGAGAAAATTATTTATCATTACCTTCGCTGCATCCTTAAAACAAAAACAAAAACCAAATATTCATTTTTCATTATTTTATGAAATATTCAATCTCTTACCCGTCCAAATCGATGCCATATTAAATAAGCTAAAACATTTTTAAGTAAATAATAACGGATAAAAATAAGATTAAATGAACATTCTTACCTTCGGCATCCGCGTTCATTCCTTTATGAATAAGTTTCCAATTTGTAATCTATAGAAAATTATATTCATTATGTCTATAATTATGTCACTCACGCTGACATCAGTTATTAATGTCAGTCAATTCAAAGACGTCATCTTACTTTATCTTTCATTGTTTCCATGAATCCGGCTGCTGACGCTGTAGGATGCACACAGATAATACCATGCACTCTGGACGGATACTCCATTGCAAATCTTATTCCAATATTTGCACCGGCACCTAGATTCAATCTCAATCAGATAAATAATTTAATCTTCATTCATCTATTTACCTTCACCCAAAACGACCACTTGTTGAACATTTAAGCGATCAAGAACATTGATTAATTCTGCTCCAAGATCATCTAACGATGGGTATTTTCTGTAAAACAGTGATAATATTAATATTACAAATATATCTTTATTTAAAAACTTACTCCAAAGCTAAATCACTGGCATCATCTTCTTGACCAGGTAAATCGACGTGTATCCAAACGATTCTTTGCTTTAAACTCCTCATTTCTGGTTGTGAACCAAATTCGGTAAAAACTGAATCTAGAAAAGAAACGACAAAAACTAGATGTCTCAACGTGTTTGATACACATACGATTGCATCCAATATCGTGAATTGTTAATACATGACATTTTGAGCCAGAATTGCCGGTATCGTCCTTTGAAAATAAAAAGATTGATAAAATTTTTGAACAATTTTTGGTCAGAATGATCATATTATAACATTACCTGGACAAAGGCTGTATAATCTATATGTAATTTATCGGATCGTATGACAGTTTTCTAAAAAAAAAAGAAAAAACATCACATAACTAAATGATTAATTAATGAAAATAATGATATTAACTATATCAATTTCAGTTTCGTAGTATTTTAAACGGCTTTAACTTTTCCTTCAATGTATCTAATTTATCCTTAAAGTACGACTTTAATTCTTTTAATTTAAAAATGACCTTTTTTCTTATCTTAGAGAACAAAAACTTAACTAAAAATCAAGTAGGCTACAAACTAATCATTTTATTGTTCAGAATTAATAGTGTTTTTTCAATAAAAAATTCCTCATTTAAGGTTTTTTCTTGCATGTAGTATAATAGAATTAATTTTATATTTTTTAATACGCTTATCTTCACGTACGTAAACCCTCAACATGCACACATGTTTTATAAAAAAAAAACATAAAAAAAATTTTTTTTTTTAATGGAATGTACTATTATCAACATATGTTAATTCTACTAAATTATGAGTTAATATCACGTGTACATTTTGACGTTGAAGTGAGTACTGTTTTTAAGTCAATAATAATAGGTTATGTTCTAAACACGCACACACACACGTGTACATGTGTATTATTTGCTTAAATACAAATAAAGGAAGAGATTATCATCATTTTATTGACATTAACAATATTTTTGTTGATCTTCACTTGTTTTCCTCGCATGTTTTACTTAATATATTTTTATCTATCATTAGAATTATGCACTTTGTTGGACATTTGAGATCGATGGATGTTGTTCTCGAAATCAAATTAAAAAAAAATCAATAAATCATTACAAAAAAATATCAGAGAACTTCTAGAACATGTAAAATTGATATTTTGATAAAAAAAAATAAATAGAACTGAAGCTGAAAAAGTATTACTTCTTTTAATACATTTGCCAATATTTATCAGAAAAAGTTCACTGTAAAGATCTCTTAAGAAAAACAAAGATGTATCAAAAATTATTCTTCAAATGAGAAAAACAAGAGTTATGTACTAAATGATTTGTTTGTCTATTTTAGACATTTATTTTCATTACAAATATTTTTCATCACCTGTGTAGTAGTTTAGAGAAGATAAAAAAACTGAAGAGAGTTTATCAATTATTATACATATGTCTATTTTTCCTACTGATAAATATACACTTTTCAAGGATGAAAAATTATCACTCACTTGTGTTTGTGAACTAAGCCGTTCAATTAATTTTTCGGTATCATTCATTATTTTGCCTTCTTTATTTTCTTTGTTTTTAATTACGTTTTTAGACAACTATACATAAACAAAATATGTGTGTATTTTTACTCTTTTTCTCTATCGAAATCTAAATAGAAATACATTTTTACAGACTGAATAAAATAATAATAAATAATATTGAAAGATTAAAAGATTGCGTTTGAATAAGAAGTATTGATCAAAAGAAGACAAAATGTATTATACCAAGTTATGTGTACGAAAATTTGCTCATTTCTTCGAGAGTATGTACGTAAATTTTTCTTTTTAAGTAAAAAAAAAAAAGAAAAAGAAAAAGAAAAGAATTTTAAATACGATAAAAAAAATCCTGTAGATTGAAATAGATTTAGGACAACGCTAGTTTCACTATTGCCTCGTATACACTTTATTGTCGTAAGAAAGAAAAAGCAACTCGAGAATCTGTGCCGATAGAAAAGGAAAAAAAAAAAAAGAAAAAAACAACAGCTCTAATACACATTGTAAGGTCAAACAAAATGCATAGAAAAAAAAAATGAGAGAAAAATGACATTTTTATACCACAACAACAGTGATCGTACACTCCCCTCAGATTTTTAACTTAGGTTGTAATAGAATCCTCAAATATTTTCTTTTATCAATAGATCCATATGCATGATTACAATTGAAAAAAGAAATTATAAATGCCAAATTTCTATATTTTCTTCTTCGTCTTATTTTGTCTTTAGTGCAACAACTTTCTTTTTAATTTTTTACTAGATGGATATGTTTCTTTCTAAGAACGCAAAAAAAAAAAAAAAAGAAAAGAAGACTTGCAGTCAGTACAGTGAATGTGCATGTTGAGAATAATTCTTCATGAGATTTTCTTGAACGATGAAATAATGATTCTCGACACACACATACATACACGTACATAAGCAAAAATCTCGTTTAGTGCTCGAAACAAGGCACTCTGCCTAATAGTCCAGGAAAAGAAAAAAAAAAGGAAAAAAAACGTTTTTGTTAATAAATTATAGAACCGAATTTATAGCAACATAAAAAAAAAAGTCTTTTTTTCTTTCTTTTTTTCCTCTTTTTCTAAAAAGTAGTAGTAGCAAATATAGAGTAGAATGCCAATAGAAACATGTGTCATAGAACCCACATAGACAGGAATAGTTTTTTCATTCATATGACATTTCATACACGAACAATAATTAACCGATATTTTAGAGATCTCTAAGGTTTTTGTATAAATCATAAAATATTGACCTATTTTACTATCAAATAGAAATGTAAAACTATTTATTTTGACAAATATTATTGTGTGTTAATTAGTTTTTCTGTTAAAATTGATTTTTTTTTTCTCCAATTTTACGACATTCACTATTACTGTTTATCTTCAGTTTAAACTCTCATTAAAGACATACTTTAACCAGTAAATTACTTTGAATGTAAGATTAAATTATTTATCTGATTGAGATTGAATCTAGGTGCCGGTGCAAATATTGGAATAAGATTTGCAATGGAGTATCCGTCCAGAGTGCATGGTATTA